TATTGACTTGATTTTGGTTTGGGAGGGGAAAAAAGTGCTCAGATGTCAGAAAAAGACAGATGTCCCATCCTATCTCCTAAATCGTTCCTTGCTGAAAACTCACTGAGTGTTGGATATGGACCTACACTCTCAGCAGTTATTATAATTATTGTTGGAAATTATAAATTAAAAAAAAAAATCTTGTCCAGCCAGTGGGCTCACTTGGTAAGAGCACTGTGCTGATAACACCAAGGTGAAGGGTTCAGGTCCCAATAACAGCCAGCCACAAAAAAAAGACCAAAAAAAATATTGTTTAGAAACAAGGAGAAGGGAAACACCAGGTCTGCCACTACCTGAGAGCCAGACCTTCACCTAGACCTCAGTATCCTTACCCAGATTTTTCAGGTCCAACCTCAGATCCCAAGTCCTCAGAGAACAGGAGCACCATAGGAGAGTGCCTGACATTGCAGACCAGAGGAAAACTAGGCCATTGTCTCTTCAGGGACAATCCTCCACACTGCTTTTCTCAACATTTCCTTCCCAAGACCTGGCACTCCCTCGTTTCCTTCCTGATTTTTTCTCTACATGCTGTGGCCCCTACAGGAAATGAGCCCTGCTCAGCTGGCAGGGAGGTAGGGAAGAGCTGAACACAAAGCCCTGCCAGCTGCAGTGTCTGTTTGATCCCTTGCTCATATCCTGCCCTCTACTGGTGGTGCTGTGTCTCTACACCTCCCCAGGGCAGAGGAAGTGCCCTGACCCTCTGCCTCCATCCACACAATGAAGGCCCATTGTCCAGCTACTCTCCACTCTGCCCAACTGTCCTCTGATCACAAGGCCTTCCTTCAGTCCACCTACCTTCTCTGCGCTCCTGATGTCACAAGTGATCCCTTTCAGTACCAGATCCAGCTCAGGCCGGTACCGTACTTGGTAGTTGCTAAAGCGGATCTCACCTTTATTGGGCCAACTTGCTGGAGGCCTCTTATCAGTCACCCAGGGTGCCTGCCACGAGACAAGATGAGAAGTGCTTTATATGGCGAAGTCAGCCGAACAGTCCTCATAGGACTCATGTCACAGAACAGGAAGAGGATAGCTGTGTCCCAGCTACCTGAGAGCATTTGTACCAGATAGTCTGAACTGGACCTGTACTTCCAGAAGGTTTCTACCTTATTCGATTAAAGAATTCCTGTTCCATGCGGTTGCTCTGTAGATCTCCAGAATGAAGCTGCCACTTAACTCGGGGCATTCCAAGCCCTGACTTCTCCCAAACCTTTTCCTAGTCTAAGTTTGAAGAAATTAGGTCCTTTGAATTAGAGCAAATGAATCTTTAGGAGAACCATTATGAACCCATGTGAAATATCGAGAAATGGTAAAGATGCTCTCTCAAAGGTGTCGCAGGATTTTTGCCTTGTCCCTGGGTTTCTCTTACCTCGTTTTCCACTTTTATATACTCATTGATTCGCTCAACAGCCACAATGTTGGTCTCTATTTCTGACGTCATCCTCACTAGCATATTGAGGATTTGTGTGATCTACAGAAAAACCAAAAATCTAGATATCATCTCAGGCTCTGAAACCAACTCCACTAGTCAAACCACAACGTCAGTCAGTGCATACTTTGTACCCAGCACTGTGCTGGACTGTGTGAGAGAGTAAGGAAAAGGAAGAAAGACAATCCTCACCTCCTTGGGGCAGGAAATA